TCACTGGCCCTGGCAAATATTTTTAATAAGGTTTACCAGGCTCTTGGAAACCTTGTACATATGCTTCCTTCTCACTCAGTAGTTTTCTGCCTTTCATTGAGGGCCTCAGTATACTTCACCTGCCTCCCTGTTATTGACCATTCAAGTTGCTTCTCATTTTTCCCCAATAGCTTACTGTAATCCTAGCACTTAGGAGGCTGAGGCAGGAGGATTGCCACAAGTTTGAGGCCAGCCTGTGCTGCATAGTGTTCAAGGCCAGCCTGAACTATATAGCGAAACTTTGCCCCCTCCAAAAAAAAGACAAACAAAATAATAATAATAATAATAATAATAATAATAATAATAATAATAATAATAATAATAATATAAGGTGAGGGTGGAAGTTCTGGAGCTAGGTGAGTGTCCCTATGCATGCCAGTGTGAAGGGTCCATTTTAGTGCAAGGTACAGGTGGCAGCAAGGTGACAATGGACAGGTGGGGTTAGACCAGGAAGGCTCTTTGGAAAGTACCTTGATGTGCTCCTGGGGCAGGGGCAGCTTAGACAGAGAGGCTCAAAGACCGTATGCAGCAGGCCTGGTATAGGTGGGGGTGAGTAGATGGAGCAGCCTGCACAGGGCCAAGGAGAGGGGACTGGTGTTGGGGGAGGGGCTGCATAGGCCTCTGCCCAGAACCTGCATCGGTTCCCAGGCTCAGGCTTTCGAGGCCCTGGCTCTAACCCTCATTGTCTATCCTGGATTCTCTGCTCAGGGCTCTCCATGCACTTGGCCCTGACTTGTCTTCATGCCCTGGGAACATGCAAGCTTGCTCCATCTTGAGATCTTATACCCATTGCCTGCCTGCCTGACCCACTCTGTCTCCCAATTTCATCATGGCCAGTGTGTCCTGTCCTTCATTCAGGTCACCAGTGCAGACATTGCCTACTCCTTTCACCTAAGCAGCAGGGAATGGTGATCGCTCACTATGTGCACTTCGGACAGCACTGGGAAAAAAAAAGGGTAGAAGTCACTGAATAAGAAGAAGAAAGCGGGCCGGGGATTTAGCTTAGCGGTTCGGTGGCCTGCCTTACAAGCGCAAGTACCCGAGTTCGATCCCCGGTACCAAAAAAAACAACAAAACAAAAAAACAAGCAGCTGGGTATGGTGGTGCATGCCTGTTACCACACCATTCTGGGAGGCTGAGGCAGGAGGATTGCAAGTTTGAGTCCAGCTGAGCAATTTAGTGACTTAGTGAGACCCTGGCTTAAAGTAAAAAATAAAAAGAGTTGGGAATGTAGCTCAGTGCAAAGACCCTGGGTTTGATCCATACTGCTGCTGAGAAATAAAACAACAAGAAAAACAGAAAGTGGCTTTCCATGGAAGATTCCCCAGCAGGCATTAGGATTAATAAGTAAACTTCTCAGTGTGCTCAAATGGGGCAAGATCTGAGGAGAAGAGCAAGGTGAGGAGGGAGAACCATAGGAGGTACAGTGTCAAACCAAGGTGGGGAAGGGACCTCTGGGCAGAGCTGAGAGGCATTCCAGGCCCTGAGCAGCAGGAGCCTAGGCCCGGCCGCCAGAGCTCAGGTTCTTCCCTTAGTTCCTCAAAAGCCCTACTCTGTAGGAAATCGTCCCTTTGGCTGATTTGTGTTCCGTCACCTCCCCTCCCCTCCCAGGACAGGGCCTGCTCTGTGCTGAGCGGTCAGCGCTTCTTTGCACCTGCACAAATGGCTGTCTCCAAAGGCTGCCAGGCCGGGCGAGAGTGCTGTGCTGCTGGTGCCCTGGCTCCCGGGAGTGGGCCAAGCAGGCAGCGTCTGTCTGCTGTCTGTGACCTCTCTGCTGACACCCAGCCCATCCAGAGTGGGTGGAGCCAAGGGGCCACTAGCTGGTGGCCACGAACCTGCCCCTTCCCACCAAGGGGTGGTGCCTGCATTTTCCTGCCTTGCCTTGGGCATTCTTTCTGTATGGGGGCCTGCACTGAGTCAGTGCTGGGCCCACCCCACTTGGTCCTGGTGCCAGCAGCCCAACACCGCCCTCCCCCGATGTGCAGCAGATCCTGCCAGGCCTCCCATCCTGCCCAGCCAGCCCTCACCTGCACCCTGGAAGCAGTGGTCAGCTCCTGGCCCCATACTACTTGGCTGGCTCTGAGCTGGTGGCCAAGGGAGGATGTCCGCTCGTGTCCTTGCCTTTAATGGCAGGGGTATAATTAGGCATCGTCCCTCCTGTAATAGCCATCCTTCACTGCCTCCCAAAGCCTGAGGCCTGAGTTAGTCAGATCAGCACCCTGCCTCTTCCTACTTGGGGGTCTAGGACCAGTCACTTAGCGTCGGTGGTTCTGGTTTCCTCATCTCACTGGGGAGGTTCCACTCACCTTTCCGGGGGCTTCCAGCAGATGCTGTTTGGTGTCACATTTACAAACTCCCACACAGAGGGCAAAGGTGGTCAGGATGTGTACCAACAGATCTCCCTGGCTGTCCTGCAGTGAGGTTCCAGGAGGATTTTCTCTCTTGTGCTGTTTGCATTTTCTCCAATGAGCATAGATTACTTGAGCAAAAAATTTAAAATGTGGTTACAGTAGCACGCAGGGTGTGTGTCAGGTCTGATATCTGATGTGCAGCAGGTGCTCGGAGAGGGTGGGTGGCTGGCACGACTGTTCTTGCCCACCTGGCTGATAAGGGTCTCCTCATCTGTCCCTCTCCTTTCTCCCATCCTCCACATTTGTACCTGTGGGGTCCTTGTCACAGATGATCCTGTGTCCTCTTGTCCCTTCCCCTCACTCTGCAGGCCCCTCTCCTCCCCAAGGGAACCTCTCTCAGGTTCCTCTGGCTTCTGACCCAGTGACCTCAACCCAGGGAGTGGAGTGGAGCCTGGGGAACAGAAGGATTTACATTGATTTGCTGCGCTTCCCTCCCCCACAGCACTCTAGCAGGCTCAGCTGTCCATCCAGAGGCCCAGAGCCCTGCCAGGTCTCCAAGACTGTTTTCACTTCCAGTCCCAGGAGCCCCCAGGGCTTTCGTGCTTGCTCTGACCCTTGGGCCCTCTGATCAAGCACTGGGACTTTCCCAGCTACCTGCCACTCCTCCGGGGGTGGGAGGTGCTGCCCTGGTCTGGCTCTCCCAAAACTGAAGGCTCAGACCTCCCCTTCATGCCCCACCGCAGGTAATGGCTTTTTGGTTGTCCCCGAGGGGTGACAGTGCTGGAGCATTGGCCCCTGATGTTTGGCTTGGCAGTGACCCAGTCTGCCAGTCCTTTCATTTGCAGGGATGTGGGTCTCTGCTTCTTGGTATGAATGCGGAGTGGCATGGCAAGCCTTAGGAACTCTGCCAGAAGACCCCCAACTTTGTCACACACATTGCATGCAGTGGGTAGTTGCCTGCCAAATTCAAGGATCCCTCAGTCCTTAGATCCTCAGGGTCCTTTCATTTGTAAACTCATGGCCTAGTGATTTTTTTTTTTTCCAATCCTGGGGGGTCAAACCCTGGGCCCTGTGCTTGTCAGACAAGTGCTCTACCACTAAGCTATTCTTCCAGCCCTGTAATTAATTTTTCTCACCTCCCAAGAAGCTGAAATCTTCACGGCATCCTTTAGGCCTCAGCTTGTTAGGACCCCCCCCCCAGTTAAGGCCAGATGTCCCCTTTCCGAACCCCAGTCCAGCACTTAGCAAACTGAGCTGGCCTGTCTCTACCTGTCCTACCAAGAGTGAGCTCCTCCCTGGTGAGGACTGAATCTGCTTGCCTTCCCTTTGTAGCTGTGTGGACTGAATGAAGCCATTTTGGGGTGCGCCTTGCCCCCTGTATTTCCCAAGGACAGGCCTCAGTGTCCTGTGGTCATTGGGAGGCCTCGCTACTGGAAGCCGGAAGCAAAGTGCGGATGATCCTTCCCCCTTCCCCCAAGGATAATCCAGAAATAGTTTCCCTTTGGGCTGGGAATGCATTTTATGTGGGTGGATGGTTTGGGGGCCTTGAGCTAGCTGCTTTCTTTATTGGGTGCAGATTTCTTTCGCTTATGCTACACTTGGGCCCCTAGGAGGGGGGCTGTTCTGAGCACTCCCCATTAGATCCCAGGGGTGCTGGAGCAGGGGTGGGGG